ATATATATGACATGTATGATAACAATCACTACAAAAGTCAAAAAGTCTGAAAAGACCAGTTTTTGTCTGAATTTGCATGAATTTTTACTCGACATTCTTAATTTGTCTGAATAATTTTTAAAAATTCTTGACATAGTATGAATTTGTCTAATAAGGTTCTTGATTTTTCTTGACAAGTGTCTTGACAGTATGAACATTGTCTTAAAATTTCTCGACACTTCCTGTATCATCTGATAAGAGTCTGGATTAGTCTCGACCAATTCTTGACTGTCTTAAATTTGTCTCGATCTGTCTTGACATATTCTTGACATTCTTAATAATGTCTGAATATGTCTCGACATATTCTTGACATTCTAAATAATGTCTGAATATGTCTCGACACATTCTTGACAGTCTTAAATATGTCTTGACACTATCCGAACAGTATAAATTTCGCCTGAAATGTGAACAGACTTATTCTGCACTGTTTATGACATTCTATTGCTGTTATATACTCCTTTTTATTATGGCTAAACTAAACTTTGAAGAATCAAGGATTAATTTGGTATAGTAAGATACCCTTTTGGTGCAACTAAGTTGGAATACCCTGAATAATCCTCCATGTAGTTTAATTTTGATTTATTTTTATTAAACATTTAAGTAATTGTTTTCACTTGGAATATAAGTCGAAGGTATTGACAAACAGCATTTAGATTTTTGCCATTCGCAAAACTGCCAGTCAAATTTGCTTTTCCAAAATAGGTGTCTTGTATCTCTTTTGGACCCCACAATTCATCTTTTGGGTTTGTGTGGCTAAAAAAAGAAGGGGGGGGCTTTCGTTTAGGTCAAAGAATTTGTTCCCATCTTGATTCAAAAACCTTATTCATTTTTTAGAACAACCAAAAAACATTTTTTATTCAAATTTGAGTGTTGAATTTTATAATTTTTTATCAAAAATAAATATTTGTGATAACTTCTTCCTGAAAAGAAAAAAATGTTTAGATCTATATTATGCATGTCTGTTTGAGAACCATTTCATAAGACCGATGATTCCTATAGAAATCATTGATGGGACCCATTATAAATACATTTTTTTTATTATTTCTGGAGTAGATAATAATTTTCTTTTAATCTTTGGGAATTATTCAATTTGTTTTTATGTTAAAATAATTAACTTCATAATTTTGATGAAGAAAATCCATTTCAATTCAATTTTTTTTCATCAAAATGATGATTTTCATTTTCATCTATCAACAAACTTTTTAAATTGTAGTGGCATGGTCAGTCAACTGATAAGTTGTATGGCTGATTACAGGTAAAGCAATAACTTCTATTTGACAGTTGCGTGTACTCTGGGGTGGGGAATACCTTAATTTTATGGGGAACATCCTGTCCATGTGTAATACTTAATATATTCCAACAGATGACATTACACAAATTTTTCTTCTGTTAAATGAATGATTTGTATATCATCATAATTTGCTATTTATATAAACCACATTTTGGTATAATAATTATTTACCATATCAACATTGAATATTATGAATGTAGAATGAAATATGTCTACAGTATGATTGGTTTGAATCATTTAATTTATAAGATTTAGGAATCAAAATTTGTAATTATTTAAAAACCTATATTGAAATTGTTTTATATCAACACACCCACATTTGAATTATTTTATACTTTAGATTTCATAGCCATATTTGCATTTGTAAAAATATTTATATACCCAAATTTTCAATTATTTTACATGCCCAACTTTTATTTTTGTTGTAAAGAAGTGTAACTTGAAACAACAGTATATCATGAATATTGGTCATGATTTGTAAAACTCAGAACTGTCAAGTAAATTTAAGACACCATTCAAAATGTTCAGAATATGTCAAGCCATACTGAGAAAAAATAAGAATGTCGAGAATATGTCGAGAAATTTCAAGACAGTATTCAAATGTCAAGAATTTGTCAAGAAATTTTAAGACCATATTCAGAATGTCGAGAAAATGTCGAGTAAATTTCATACAAATTTAATATAAATGAGAATTTGTCAAGAAAAATTAAGACACAAGTCATACTTTTGGAGAATGTCGAGTAAAAGTTCATGCAAATTAAGACAAAAACTGGTCTTTTCAGACTTTTAGACTTTTGTAGTGAATAAACCATATCAAATGACAGAAATCAATCCTAATCAAGCCAGATGTTGCATTAAATACCTATCGTAGTAGCACATGAATCCTTATATTAGTATTAAACTAAATTTGTAACTTTTTAAGATACTGCTGTTATTTAACTGTAACAGCTTGAACTTTCACTTGGAAACTCTATAGTACATGTATATATATATATATATATAATTGATTTATTGACGATTGTGTACCATTCAGTGAAAAATATTATTACATACATGATTGCAAATTCAGAATGATACCATTTTCATGAGATGTGAATATACCTTGCTTTGAAAAAGACATACCCACTTAGTTGGTTGGAATTTAAACTTACTAGCACAGAAGGTAACAGTTTGCCAGCAAACATGTTACCCTAATGACCCTACAAATGTATAAGCTACCTGGGCACATTATTCTGGCTCTGACTTAATCAGTCTTTGCTCTTCCTCTTAAATGTAATTGGGGGAGAAGCAGAACCTACTAATCTATAGATTTTGGACTGACCCAGCAAAGAATTGAACCAATGATCTTCTGCACTCCCAGCCAGCACTTTACCTCTAGACAACAGTGGACCGACTCAGACAAGAATAGAACCAATGACCTTCTGCACTCCCAGCCAGCACTTTACCTCTAGACAACAGTGGACTGACCCAGCCAAAAATAGAACCAATGATCTACTGCACTCCTGGCCAGCACTCGACCACTAGACAAAAGTGGACTGACCTAGTGGAGAATAGAACCAATGATCTACTGTACTCCCAGCCAATACCCTACCACTAGACAACAGTGGACTAACCCAGCGGAGAATAGAACCAATGATCTACTGCACTCCCAGCTAGCACTCGAACACTAGACATTGGTGGACTGACCTAGCGGAGAATCGTACCAATGATCTACTGACTCCCAGCCATCACTCTACCTCTAGACAACAGTGGACTGACCCAGTGGAGAATAGACCCAATGATCTTAACTTCACTCCTGGCCAGCACTTTACTTCTAGACAACAGTGGACTGACCCAGCGGAGAATAGAAACAATGAACTACTGCACTCCTTGCCAGCACTCTACCACTAGACAACAGGGGATGTTAGTTGAGATTAACCAATGTGTAGTCCTATAGTATGACAGACAAAAAGGTATTCTTTACTGGTGCATTTAATAATGTTTAATCATTGTAATATTTTAGATGACATTGTTTTACAGATTTTACATGTAACTAACTGACTAAGTTCACTAACTGAATAAGATTTTATTTAGAATTTTAAAGGAGTTAGTGTTTCCTTCCGGTGGTTTTGTCAGGGTATGGGTTCCTAACCACATTTTCTTGAAAACCCTTACCAATTTGTAGAAATCAATGGGACAATGCTGATTTCCATTTTCTTTTATTATGTTGTGATGCATTCTATTATCTCTTCAGCAGTTCATCTTTAAGTAACACATTACAAATTTGAATAGCCCCATCTTATAGATTTCCTGTTTTCAAACTGTTATGAAGAATTTTGAGGCAAACAAGTGTGAATACTGTCCAAATGGAACAGTACAACAGGAACTTCATACTGCCATGAATTTAAAATGTATACAACTTATAGGAGTACCTGCTGATTGTTTTACTTATAATTTTACGATCCATGGGACATTGTGTGAATCAGTCACCTTATTAATAATTAATAATGAATTATTAATCATGTTAATACAGCACAACCTTGTTAATAATATAAATTTAGTATCACTAGTTTTAGCTTTCCATCAGTTGAGATTTACAATTATATATATTGGGCTTCCTTTTTGTTCCTTTAAATATTCAAATTTGAAATTTAGTAAAATAAGAAAAATTAACATCTGAAAAATATTTTTGATTGCATAACTATAAATTAATTGCAAAAAGCATTGACCTAAAAAGTTGTGTTAAAGTTATGAGCAAAGACATACATGTACTCAATTTGTTTACACAAGACCATGCCAGACCTATTCAAATTTAATGCTTTGTCTATTTGTTCCACAAAATATAAGGCATTGGTATACATGTACATTTTGTACATTTGTATATGTATAGATAAATTACACATAAATTTCTTTGCACAGTCAGTGCCAAAAACCATTATACCACTAGCCATAATGCTCATTTCAAGAAAAAAAATTTTATGTACAACAATGTATATCTAATTATAATAACCTTTCTTTCAAACAATATCACTAGCTTGAAACAATTTTTACAGGCTTACATGTACAGCTAGTACCCGTACTACAGTAGTGGTCTTTCAACCGCCTTCGGCATGGATTCTTTGCACATGCAGAACCAAAAGGTCTTACAATAACTGACTTAAATAAATCTTCATACAATATGTTTTTTATATGTGACATCATCACGATTTACAGGGAAACTATAATATTATATGATTTTCCATATAGGCTATACTGCTATAGACCAATTTCAATATTTTTTTTATGAATGAATTACGCTGGTTGATGTAAGGTAAATGACATCATTGGACAATAGATTCTTACTGTGTCGTAATAACATAAGCATTGTGACATTGGAAAATGGAAATGTACAGGAAAATGCATGAATGTGAAACAGAAAGTCGTCTATAGCCATAATACATTTTTTTGTAGCAGAGTTTGAAATAATGTATGGGGTCTGTTACAAACAATTCAAATGTAAACATTAAAACAAGAAGCATTATCATGCGTGTTTAAGTAATATCTTCCAGATTTCTGTCGTACATGACTGGATATATATATATCTCCAGATATATGATCTATATATAAACATTTCGTTGCAGACGCATTTTATAGTGTCAGAGGTGTGCTACTACACCTTGCCCTGATCATTATATATATTTCTATCACTTACTATCTTTCTCGTGGTCGTATCCTACTAATACAAAGTAGTCGGCCAATCGAGACATTGCATAAAATACCACAAAGTTTCACTTTTCGGTTGCATTCCCATCACACTGTCGCCATCTTGTGTACATATTCCTAAAATGCACTTCCGGGACATCCCAGTGTAGGGGGAACCACTCGTTTCTTTTAAATACGAGTTTAGCGGGAAATTTTTTATTACTTTCTAGTCCTTTCAAAATATTATATTATATTATTAATTAACATGAGTTATATTCCTTCGCTTGCATTTAAAAACAAATATTTACGTATCCAAATCTTTTTTTTGTTAAATAAAAATATTGAATCAGAATAGAATAGATATTTTAAATTCTCAAATAACAGGGCCCACTGATAAAGTGCATACAAATACGTTACATATTTGATGGACATAATTGATAAGCACAATGTACATGTACATGTATATTTAGTATATTAGCATTGGTCAGAATCAGAGCCAACAACCGTGAATCTATATTATGAATGCACAATTAAATAATAAAGTTACATTATATGCATTCGTTATCAAATTATTTACTAGACTAAGTATCAATATTCGGACCTGATCTCCCGTTAATTCAAAACACTCGCCAATATAACAGCCCATTTTTTTCCATAAGAGATACATTTTCTTGTGTCAATAGCCATAAAAATTTGGAAGATTTATTTAAGTTTTTAATGATTATAACAAATCTTAGAAATGTATTGCAAAAATTCTTCTCTTTTGATATCAAATAGTGGATATTCTAATAAACAAGAGGCTCTCAAGAGCCTGAATCGCTCACCTGTAATTTTTTGCTTAAATCTCTCATCAATGATTATTTTTGCTTTTTATATATTAATGAGTGGCTTAAAAATTCCATTGAGATGTTCTTTGTATCTGTCATTATTTCTTCAAAAGCAAAGAAATACATTTTACCCCTATGTTCCATTTTAGCCATAGTGGCTATGTTTCTTGACGTACAAGAAAATAAAATACAAACTTTATACTATATACTCTGAAACTCATTCAGCCAAAGTTTGGCTGAAATTGATTCCGCAGTTTCAAAGGAGAAGATTTTTAAACTTAAGCAAACTAGATGAACAAATTGTGAAAAATTGTCTTTAAAGGGCAATAACTCCTTATGGACACATTTGACAATTTTCGTCATTTAAACTTATTTGTAGATCTTACTTTGCTGAACATTTTTGCTGTTCACAGTTTATCTTTATCATTAATAATATTCAAGATAATAACCAAAAACTGCAAAATTCCTTAAAATTGCCAATTAAGTGGCAGCAACCCAACAATGGACTGTTAGAATCGTCTGAAAATTTCATGGCTGATAGAACTTGGCCTAATGAACATTTTAACCTCTCATCAGATTTGCTCTAATTGCTTAAGTGTTTGAGATATATAAGCCAAAAACTGCATTTTACCCCTATGTTCTAATTTTAGCCATGGCGGCCATGTTTTTTGACGAAACAGAAAATAAAACACACACTTTATTCTAGATACCCTAAGGATCATTCAGCTGATGTTTTGTTGGAATTGGTTCAGTGGTTTCAGAGGTGAAGAATTTTTAAAGTTAGAAAACATGATAAACAAATTGTGTAAAATTGTCCTTAAAGGGCAATAACTCTTTAAGGGGTCAATTGACAATTTTGGTCATATAAAACTTATTTGTAGATCTTACTTTGCTGAACATATTTGTTGTTTACAGTTTATCTTTATCCTTAAAACTATTCAAGATAATAACCAAAAACTGCAAAATTTCCTTAAAATTACCAATTTAGTGGCAGCAACCCAACATTGGGTTATTAGATTCATCTGAAAATTTCAGGGCTGATAGAACTTAACCTAATGAACACTTTTATCCTGTCAGATTTGTTCTAACTCCTTTGGTTTTTGGGATATAAGCCAAAAACTGCATTTTACCCCTATGTTCTATTTTAAGCCATGGTGGCCATGTTTTTTGACGAAACAGAAAATAAAACATGAACTTTATTCTAGATACCCTAAGGATCATTCAGCTTAAGTTTGGTTGGAATTGGTTCAGTGGTTTCAGAGGAGAAGATTTTTTAAAGTTAGAAAACATGATAAACAAATTGTGTAAAATTGTCCTTAAAGTGCAATAACTCTTTAAGGGGTCAATTGACAATTTTGGTCATTCTAACTTATTTGTAGATCTTACTTTGCTGAACATATTTGCTGTTTACAGTTTATCTTTATCATTAATACTATTCAAGATAATAAACAAAAACTGCAAAATTTCCTTAAAATTACCAATTTAGTGGTAGCAACCCAACAATGGGTTATCAGATTCGTCTGAAAATTTCAGGGCTGATAGAACTTTACCTTTTGAACACTTTAACTCCATGTCAGATTTGCTCTAACTGCTTCGGTTTTTGAGATATAAGCCAAAAACTGCATTTTACACCTATGTTCTATTTTTAGCCATGGCGGCCATGTTTTTCGACGAAACAGAAAATAAAACACAAACTTTATTCTAGATATCCTAATTAAGGATCATTCAGCTTAAGTTTGGTTGGAATTGGTTCAGTGGTTTCAGAGGAGAAGATCATTTGAAATAGTTTACACCAGACGGACGACGACGGACGACGACGGACGCCAAGTGATGGCTAAAAATGAAGCTCATCCTCAACTTTACCAAGTGAGCAATTTAAACAAAGACGCTCGTATCTATCTATCTATACGTTTTTTTTAATATCTGTCCGTCTAAATTTTTAAAGAGTGAGCGCTTATTCTTAATTTACAAATTGACTGTCTTTTTTTAAAATCCTGTAGTTCTAAATATTTTTCTTTTTTAAAACAATCTTTTTATAAGTACCAAGCTTCCCTTTTTCTGAGTTAATTGTTTGATACTTCAGTTTATTCGAAAATGTTAAATAACTTTCACATAGTTTATTTTTAACATACTTACACAAAGAACCGATTGGTTGGTCAAAATTAGGTAATTTAATCTCTTTCTGTACAGATAAAGGGTCAATGCAGACTTAGAAAATATTGAATTCTCTTGAATAATAGATTATGAAAATATAAATCAGGCATATCCAGATTTTTAAAAGGCTGTGGTAAACGTTTTAGACCAACACGCTCCGAAAGGAAACAATCCAAACAACCTGTATCCAATGATTTAGGGAGCCACCATTTGATTTTTATGGGGGGGGGGGGGGGAGGGGGGGGGGGGGGGCTAGGATGAAAAATTTTGTCCTGCCTTTTTATTTTTCCCTCTATTCGGTCCTGCCTTTTTATTTTTCACTCTATTCGGTCCTGCCCTTTTTTTTAGTTTATCCTGACTTTTTTTATTTAACTAAATTGTCATCCTGCCTTTTTTTTTGCAAATACTCTCATCCTGCCTTTTTTTTTTACTCACAACTCTTGTCCTGCCTATTTTTTTCAAATTTCATCCTAGCCCCCCCCCCCCCCCCCCCATAAAAATCAAATGGTAGCGCCCTTATGAACCAGGAACTAAGAAGAGCAGTGTACAAAAAACAAGACCGCTGTACAACAGGTATAACAAACACAAATCAAATAAAAGCAGGGAACTTTGATTATAGACAACAAAGAAATTCTGTGAATAAAAAAAAAAAACACGAAAAAAAAGATTTAAACATATTTTTACGAACGCTGCATAGGTGGACAAAAACAACTGACTTCTGGTCTACTATAAAAACCTTTCATTAAAAAACAAAGGCAGCTACTTCACAAAAATATAATTCTACGTCTAAAAAAGCCTGACTCATCAGTGACGCTCGAATCAAAAACAAAGTACGACAAAAAGAAAGCAGCAGAAGACTTCACTTATTTTTTTTTATAAATGTGGCAAAAGACAACAACTCACCTGATAACCAAAACCATCCAAGTGATAAATAAATATATGAAAACAAAACTGCCACACATAACTAGAATTCTGTACCATCTCAACTGTAGACAAACAACATCAAACATTAAATATCAAAAAGGCAAAGGGAATAAATGGAATTTCAGTTAAATTCCTAACCGTAACTGTACTAGCACAAACAATAATCACAGAATCAATGACTGAATTGATTAAAACGATAAAATTAACTACTTTTCCAGACAATCTTAAACAGACACAAAATGTACAATTGCAAAAAAAAAAAAAAAAAAAACCGATGTACTTGACGTAGGTAACTATAGACCCGTAAGCATACTTTTGATATTTCAATTTTTTTTCGAAAGGGCAATTTACAACCAGCTAGTTGATACTTCGATACGCATTTTCACTTATTAAATAGGAAACAGTAAACAGTGTGTTCGAGTTGTCTTCAGTCTTAACAATTTGAAAAATATTTACAAAGGTGTACCCATAGGTATTATTCTTGGTCCTATACTTAAATTTCTTAAATGATATCTTTCGCTTAACTTCACACAGTTTACTCTACAATTATGCTGACGACAATACTCTCTCTTATGCAAATAGGGATATAAACACTACACTTGAAAGTTTAGCTCTGATAGACTGGTTCTCTTCCAATCGAATGAAGGCAAATCCTGCAAAATTTCAAGCTTTGGCAATTGGCAAAGAACCAATGGACAAATACATCACCTCTGACATGGCAGGTAAAGTCAAACTATTAGGCATCACCATTGATTTTGCATTAAATTTCAACACACATTTCTCCAACATTTGCAAAAAAGCATCTAGACAGCTTAATGTTTTAAAAAGGCTTAAACAAACTGGGAAATACTTTAGGAAAACAATATACCAATCTTATATTATGTCTAACTTTAATTTCTGTTCATTGTCCTGGCATTCCTGCAGCGAGGCAAACACAATTAAAATTGAAAAGGTCTGTTTTATTTTCCGGGGCCAGGATAACAACAGCACATATGTTGATTTACTCTTAAAATAAAAAATGCCATCTCTCAAAGTAAGACGCTTAAGTACGATGGCAAAATAGGTATTTAGAACAGTGAATAAAGAAAGCGTGCATGCCTAAAGAAAATCCAATATACCTACATAATCTTATAAACATTACAGAAACAAAATATTCTTTCAGATATCAAAACTTATAGCTCAAATGCCTGCAGTTAGAACTACAAGGTATGGCTTGAAATCCTCCAGATATTCTACAGCCAAACTATGGAATGAGTGGCCAAACCAATTTAGAAATGAAACATCTTTTACTCAATTTAAATATTTAATAGAAGATTGTTTAAAAGGATGTAAAAATTTGTCTTTTTCCCGAAACTTGTGTGGCTGGTAACATCGTCGTATCTATTCCAACCGCGATTAGAAGGGGAAATTTCATACAGGGATTCACATGAATTTTGAACAGATTATTTTTTAACAGGGATTGAAGTTGCAGGGTAGAATTCATGCAGAAACTCGACTAATTAATGTCAAGCTTTGCTCCGGACAATCATGCTTCCTCAAATCGGACTAATATAAGGAATTTTCTGAGGTGAACCTTGTCCCTGTCCTGTTTAGTTCAGACAGAGGCATATATAATATAAGAGATTGGCAACTGGGCGAAATATTGTGATATCATAGGACCCTCGTTATTTTATTGATAATGGTAAGTAAAAGTACGAATTAAAATCTTATTCGCTAAAATAAAAATAAAAAAACAAACAGTTGAATAATACCTATAATACCCAATCAAGAATTCGTTAAGATTTCCATGTTATAACATTATATTTGTACCGTGTATCAAAAACAACAAAACAGAAGCATCAATCATACCAATAAAATTGAGAATGGAAATGGGGAATATGTCAAAGAGACAACAACCCAACCAAAGAGCAGACAACAGCCGAAGGCCACCAATGGGTCTTCAACGCAGCGAGAAAATCCTACACCACTTTGTCGAGTTTCAATATCTTGATGTCAATGTTTGACTCTACCTTTTGAACAATATCAAGAAAAATTCTAAAAATGAGGAAAACAAATTAAATGAGAAGGAATAGTTACGTCAGTACGTGAAGTAGTATTGTTTTAGAGGAGAAGAAATCTAGTTTGACCAATCAGATCAGGAATTTCATTTGATGGTCATGCTCTTCGTTTAATTAGTAGTATATATGAGGAACAATTATAGAAAACCTTACAAACATTCGTTTTATTTTGGAAATTCTATAAATGTACATCTTGTTAATCTGATTAAAATTCAGATCTATCTTAACTCGCGTGCTCGTATATATTATGTAGTTGTTGAGACACACAATTTTGTTCAAATGCTGAATGTTTATGACCCCGCCGTAGGCAACGGGGCATTAAGTGTTACCCTTAACCGTCCTTCCGTCAATCTTTCCGTCCATCCGTCTTTCCGTCAGTCCGTTCCATCTTAGCTTCTGCACTCTAACTTAATTTTTCCTTATCCAAATTTTATGAAGCTCACATTGCTAAGAACCAAAACTAGCAGACAGACGTTTCAAATTTGGGCAGTAGGTAACTTACCGTTCTAGAGTTATATTTAAATTTAACGGGCTATGTCAAGGATTGCAGTCGTAAGATTTTGCATATATAACTAAGACATATCACCCCCGGATTATGATGGGGTTCGTGTTGCTCAGTCTTTAGTTTTCTGTGTTGTGTTTTGTGTACTGTTGTTTGCTTTTTCGTCGTTATCCGTTTTTTGCCACTGCATTGTCAGTTTGTTTTCGACTTATAAGTTTGAATATCCCTTTGATATCTTTCGGCTCTCCTGGACTTTTAACTGAAAATCGAACAAAATCATTGAATGGAAATACGACCTTAAAAAAGGATAACGTTTGTTAAATGCACGAAAAGGCAATCTGATTAAAATTTAGACCTATATTAACTCGCGTGCTCGTACATACGAGAATATAACGAAATCAGAGAACTATATTTTAATTAGATTGACGAAAGGGGAAACTATTAAAGAAACTCTCTTATCTTTGAACGCTCCTTTCTCAACACCCACTACAGGGATTTCTCTTAAAAACTTATATGTGGTTGCTAGATATATACATTTGTATTTTGTTTTAATGATGTTAAATAATCATATGGTCATCGACTGAGTTGTAGGGGAATGGGAGTGAGATGGTGACTTATTGGGGTCAGCATCAGCAAAAGAGGCGTTTTTGTGACTACTTTGGGGTCAACAACAGCAACAGTGGTGTTCCTGGTGACTAATTGGAGGTCAACATCAGCAAACATGGTGATCTTGGTGACTAATTGGAGGTCAACATCAGCAAACGTGGTGATCTTGGTGACTAATTGGAGATCAACATCAGCAAACGTGGTTGTCTTGGTGACTAATTGGGGGTCAACATCAGCAAAAGTGGTGTTCTTGGTAACACAATACTACAAAACGTAGAAGTTAGCGTACCGTCGTCGCGTTAAAAGGCTGTGGCATAGGCCGAACAGAGACCTGTCATAACTTTATACATCTTTTTCCTAGCCGTACAGAGACCTGTCATAACTTTATACGTCTTTTTCCTAGCCGTACAGAGACCTGTCATAACTTTATACATCTTTGTCCTAGCCGTACAGAGACCTGTCATAACTTTATACATCTTTTTCCTAGCCGTACAGAGACCTGTCATAACTTTATACGTCTTTTTCCTAGCCGTACAGAGACCTGTCATAACTTTATACATCTTTTTCCCAGCCGTACAGAGACCTGTCATAACTTTATACATCTTTTTCCTAGCCGTACAGAGACCTGTCATAACTTTATACATCTTTTTCCTAGCCGTACAGAGACCTGTCATAACTTTATACGTCTTTTTCCTAGCCGTACAGAGACCTGTCATAACTTTATACATCTTTTTCCCAGCCGTACAGAGACCTGTCATAACTTTATACATCTTTTTCCTAGCCGTACAGAGACCTGTCATAACTTTATACATCTTTTTCCTAGCCGTACAGAGACCTGTCATAACTTTATACATCTTTTTCCTAGCCGTACAGAGACCTGTCATAACGTTATACACCTTTATCCTAGCCGTACAGAGACCTGTAATAACTTTATACATCTTTTTCCTAGCCGTACAGAGACCTGTCATAACTTTATACACCTTTGTCCTAGCCGTACAGAGACCTGTCATAACTTTATACATCTTTTTCCTAGCCGTACAGAGACCTGTAATAACTTTATACATCTTTGTCCTAGCCGTACAGAGACCTGTAATAACTGTATACATCTTTGTCCTAGCCGTACAGAGACCTCTAATAACTTTATACATCTTTGTCCTATGGTCTTTGGACTTTTGTCTCGTAATCCATTTAGGAATCATACCACATCTTCTTATTTTTGTATTCCAGTTAAATACCAAAAATAAGTATTATGTGTTTAACCTTTGTATTCTCCGGTATGTAATGGATTAGAGAATCAATTAACAAGGTTCTAATCAGGGACTTTCTATACTAAGTAATATAGTATAGAAAGTCCCAGTTCTAATTAATGAATTCAACTAAAAAAATTAAATAATTTCACTTTTAATGTTTACTACTGTACGTCCTTTGGTTTGATTGCTGTCTCATTAATACCACACATCTCATTTTATTTATATCCAATACAAACAATAAGTATTTAAAATAGCAAGCAAAATTAACAAGTAACTAGCAAAATCAGCAAGCCGAGCTTTGGGAGCTGTTTTGTCATATAAGGTTTATACAAAATTGTACAACTCAATGGTGGAGCATATTTTAATGTACGGGAGTGGAATTTTGGGAACTAAATCGTTTAGCGTAATTAATTCTGTTCAAAATAAAGCTTGTAAGTACTTTTTATCTGTTGGGAGAAATACATCTTATATCTTTACAGTGGGCGACCTAGGATGGACATCATGTTTGAATACGCAGCGCGTTTTCTTGCGTACGGCTTCTGTGTAAACTTACACGAATGGATGAGGATAGAAATGTGTTTAATATCTGGAGTTGGATATCGCGTCGACGGAAAGGCTGGAATACGGAGGTGAACAAGACAACTTGTTGGAAATTAGGGACATTGTTAGTGATGTGACAATAAGTACAAAAGTAGCCATGAAAAAGGTTGTTGAACAAGTAAAACCTCCTAAATAACACAGAATGGCAGAGAGAACTCCATAACGATCGCGGAAAAGATCATGGAAATAAAAACTTAGAACATACAGGCAATACAAAAGAAACTGTTCCGTGGAACACAATGACAACCATTTTTATTGTTCCCAATATTTGTTGTAATAGTTCAATAATTGGATTGAATATAATTAATATTTAAAATCTAATTCACGATACGATACCAGATCTTTCATGATCAGATCGCAATACTTGACCACCGTAACTTATTCTTTTACGATCATATATTTTTCGATATACCAAACGACACCCGTTAACCCACCGTGAACTACCACGTATGACTTATGGACTGTACAACGGAAGAATCGTATAGCATATAGACTGATTTATTGATTGCTATTTGCTTTACGTCAAGTGGCAAATATTTGATGCATGTTTAGGACGAGAACACATTAACATTAAATACAATAGGTAGGTCTTATAATATGGGCCGATCGGGAAGAAGGATGGGAAATTTGGACTGCCACTGAAAAACAGTGGTATTAATTAGATTGATAATAACGGGTCACATACAGACCTTTCAAAGAGTTGTTGTGAAAGTTATTTAGCGTACAGAGAACGTTGCTGCAAATTAATACATCCCGCACAGCCAAACGGACCCATTTTGGCAAGAATTTTACTGCCGGTCGGAAGGAGATCAAAAGTTACCATATTAATTTTATATCCCCGTCACCCTTGGGATCAACATATATCAATATAGATAGACTAAAAACTTATCAAAAACCGCCTTTGTCGTGCAACATCTCCCACAAAGTATATAGGTCAATTGCATATATTTATTATAATCATTCTCTTTGTGTAAGCTGAAATACACTCCAATCAAAAGATGCTGCTAAAATTTTTCCCCAACAAACCCTGATCAAAAGAAACTTAACGATGAATATGACGTGTGTGTTGCATGTTTTGTTTAATACCAACTATGGTGGTAGAATCCTATTCGAAAATAGGACACACACATACAAACAGATTCTACCTTGTTTACACGCTTAATCATGGTGATGGTGGTTGAGGCATTGTCGGCGCCAGTCTGATTGAAATTCAGATATATCGTAACTCGCTTACTCGTCGAATGAGCATAAGGAAATCAGAGATCTATATTTTAATTAGATTGTATCGGCGCCTGCAAGTTCTAAGAATCGAGCAAACAGGAAACTAGTTTATTAACAAGAGTAGGAAATTGAACATAACAATTGATAATATTTTCCCGGAGAACGTGAAGAGTATATGTCACACGCACCTGCTGACATCTCTCGAATCGGACAAAGACATTGTGAAATAGGTACAACACTATTTTTTATTATTATTTGTTTTCACATTTGGAAATTGGACGTAACCAGATTTTTTCAACGGTTATATGTACCGATAACGGAGTTAGTTTACATGTAATTAAGCCAGTATTCATATATGAAAACTATGAAAACATTTGCACAATTATATATATAAATGTCAAAGGTATATATATACACGCTATCAAATTAAAATGTGACTGGACAAAGGGAGACAATTCTAATAACACCAGAACCACCCCTTTTTCGGTCCAGTGAATTCGAAAGTCAAGATTTCAAAAAAATATCCTTCAGATGTGGATAAAACTGTCAATCATATTTATATTTTTGAATTGTGCTATATATATGCATGTGCTTCAAACTTCTTGAATTAAGCGCAAAACAGCACCAACTGCCAGAATAGCCTAATTTTATGATTGTTTGAATTTTTTGTCAGTTGTGTTGCATGCATGTATGTGATGCATGTTTATGCTGCTTAATCCAGCATGCTGAATGGTTGCTCACCCAATTTTGGCAATCTAACGGAACTATAAACAACTGTCATACAAGTTGGAGGCTTCAGCTATCTATATACAACCAGGTTTAACCCACCATATTCTTTAAATCAGGAACATGACAGTTGTTTTCCATTCGTTCCGTTGGTTGATATAGACTATATGTGGTATTTTAATATACAGTGTATAGAAATGATAATGCCTGACAATCTGATCTTTAATGGAGCGTAGCTTATTCAATTCTTCTTACACATATTTTGATTGACAACAAATGTTACGTTTTGAGGACGTGTTTTTCGACAGACGATCGGCAATCTTATGGGAACCAAGTGCGTTCCTCTTCCTGCTGACTTGTTCCTTTGTCCATATAAAGCAGACTTCATGCTGGACCTTCTCGAGAAGAATGAAAAGAAGCTAGCATTATCCTCATACTTCCGCTATATGAATGATGTCCGTTGAGTATAGCTACATAATTCAAAGTTTGGTGACTATGTTGAAGGCATCTTTCCTATCGAACTTAAAATAAAGGATACCACAGATTTGGTACATGTTTTAATAATTTTGTGGGAACGAAATCCCTTCCTTTTAATTCACCAGTTATACATGAATTATGTTCACTGAAATCTAAAACCAACTACAGACACGGGAATAGCTAGCAAGTTATGAAATATATTATCACTGACATTTACATCACCTTCATTCAATCTCAGCACATTGTTCATATACATCATCAAGGGCCTTTATTAAAGACGTTGGTAAATTATCTTCTGATAAAAATACATTCCTTGAAAAAAATGTTGAATCTCAACAATTGATGTCTATCGATCGTGTCAAAAAGTTATATGTTTTCGATTCCCCCCCCCCCCCCCCTTATCTGAAGTACCGAAAAATTGGACACCCCCCTTTCCATTCCCATAAACCTTTAAGATTGATGACAGTGTTGACAAAACTAGCAGTGCAAATTCGACTGATTGAAAAGTAAGTTGGTAAGTATACCCCCAAGGAATAGAGCTAAAGAAATCCAGTGTTTTTAATCCTACTTTACATCAATATAAAGTGATTTACTTTTAGCATGAACAAAGTGCCTGTCAATTTCAAAAGTCGGATGAATAAAGTTTGAGCTTATCTAAAAGGTTGTGAATGCTACATAGATGGAGTTTTTTTGTGACTTGGGAGAACAGGTTAAGATTTTGAAAGCATTTTTCTATTCTTAAATCTCAACCACAAACGTTAGGAACATGGGTCATCTATTACCTTTTTCCTAGTATAGTTATTTTAAATAAAAAAAATCTTTTTCCTTCAGCTTATTTTCCTATATCTATTGTATTCTTGCTATACGAACACAATCTTACATTGTTAGCAGTTTATATGTCGCGCCACTCCACTCTTATTTTCCGAGTATGGAGATTCAGAGACTCACGAAGCAGTGAAACTATCAAAGGAACGACGTAAAGTGCAAGATCCGATAATAAATGCAAATTATGCGAAATGCATTCCAAACTTTCCTGATATCGGAGAAATGAAAAAAAAAGACACAAGAAGAAAAACAGCAAGCTAAAAGTGAAAAAAACTATTCGGCTATCGATGATTTTCCTTAAACGTTTGGGTACATTTCAAACATGTTTAAGTTTTGTTAAATTTTTGTTTTGTTTTTATTTGTGTACCGTTTAAAAATATTGAAACCAGTTAGTACAGCATGATTAAAATGAGGGGTATTAACGAGTGAGTTATCAGGCCATAAGGACAATACTATTTTAGTTTAACAATTGTAACGCCTTGAAACAATTTTAACAACACTGTAACAGATACAAAGTTTGACCTGTAGAAGGTGCAGAATCAGTCGTATATTTTAATACCAAAACAATGGTTTACTCAGTTGCGTACGCATGCCTTCACAATACTCAGTGGCATTGGGATGGTTTATGTTCAAGACGATCAAACGTATCAATTTGAAGCAGATCCATCTTTAGACGTGTATTACTTTGATAAATTTGGCGAAATACTGCACCAAACCCATAGAATACGCACGAGGCCGGAGTTGTGACGCTGTGAATCTTACTTAAGATAGAAAAAAAATCATTAAAATGACCTTCATATGAAATAAATTTTGAGGAAATTTGCTCTACCAACATAGTATTTATTAGGTCAACAAAGGTCTCGTTATCCAGTTCTTGTCACTCTGTTCGAACTTTCGGGTTTACCGTGTTCTTTTTCATATTCATCGATATGTGAATGCTTTTTATTACTTCGCTTTCCAAAATTCGTCAGATTGATAATTTCTATTTTCATTTCCATGTTCAAGTCCATCAAACAGTGCGAGTTATATTCGATCGAAGTCCGTCTTGT